GTAACTGATATATATATATATAAAGTTTATTCTGATATTTTGCAATGGTTTAAAACTCAGTGTACAAGTGACAACAATAAAACCCATATGTTGGTTGTGAAACAGACTAAATACATTTGTCTCAATAATACAGGGAAGCTATGACATTCTCACAGTTGGGGTCTCAATACACTGAAGAGCTTAAGTTTTGAATTCCAATGTAAATCTTGTCTATAATGAGAGGAATTGACCAGGACTAATCTTTTAAGTTCTGTGAAGTAATTTTCTTTGTAATTTATGGTGTCTGTATCGTTTTTAATTTCTTCTAACAGGATGTATCAAGTAACTAGGGTTAGGCAGTGTTATTCAAACCACCTGTACTGTAAACTATTACATACAATCGCTAGTAGTGGCAATTAGTTTTATCTGTATAGTGAAACAACGTACAAGGACATATGTTGAAATAAACTTGTTTGAAAGTTCAAAGAAATGATATTCAAGTACCGAAAAGCTTTCTTACTATCATATCTACAGTAATGTTCAAATGTGCTTGCACTGGACTGAATGAGATAGGCAACAGGTATGATAGTTTACGACACGTGTACAAAGTTCACGCTGCTAACCCAATGGTTTATTTGGCATAATAAACAAAAGTATGGCTGCAATGAAACATAAACGTAAACTTGAAATAAAAATACATTTATGAAAAAAATTAAAATGTTTTTTATGTATATATATAAACATAAAATCCTACTTAAAAATACAAATACTCATTTATTATATAGGTTTACTTACAAATATTATTTTCGAGTCTTGTGTATTACTTGAAACCATAAGGAGAGTATGTGATTATTAAGAAAATTAAAAATAAACAAAATTTGCATTTTATGGATGATAAAAAGTTTTTAGGGATTTTAAAATAATGTACTAAAACATAAAAAGTAATAAGTTCAAATCTGCAACAAATAAAAATATTCTAATCATTTCTTATAAATACCATTTCCTAATGTAATTTTCCAAGATATTAAAGATCATAATGCAAAAAAACTAAATTTATCAAAAGTAACAGGCTTTATGTTTCTTAAACTACATACATTTATGAAAGTTCTAATGAAGTTTCAAACAATTTCATCCACTAGTTTTATTGTTGGAATGAAATATAGCAAGACTTGCATTGGCTATTCAGAGAGTTAGTAGCCGGTGGTCATTGGGTTAAAGTCAAAGCTGATTTTTGTATGGTTCCAATGGGAGACCAAACTTTTTGCTATGTTTCTGTTTTTATTTTTTTGAGTGTGATTCTTCACTGTATCTTTCTTCTTTTTCCAGTAGTTGAAAATAAGTGTTAACGTATGTATTCAAATAATTGTTTTGTCGAAGAATTTGTCTGAGTTCATTTTTTTTTTATATTGTGTTTCTTTGTCTGTGCAAGTTCTGTGTGTCCTAAATAGTTGTCCCATAATCACTCTTTTTCCTTACAGAGAGAGGATGATGGGACTAAAAGTGTAGAACTATTGGTTCCTTACAGTATTTTACATTTAGAGATAAGAATATTTTACTACATTTCAATGTTATTAGAATGTACAGGAAAGCAAGTGTGAATGCGTTGTCTGAGGTTTCAAGAATGAATTTAATTTTGCAGGGTAGCTTGTTGAGGTAATCATGTAATTTGATTAAGTGTTCTATTCCAAATACCAAATATTTCATCTGTGTAGGGATACTAGACTTCAGGACAAATATTATTTTTTTGTTTCCACCCAGAGAGGAATGTTGTTTTATGAAAGTCCACAAAAACAAACAACAAAATAAAACTACTACAATCTTATTACACATGGTGATACCTTGAGTTTATAGGTAATTAACTACTGCATAGAATACAATGCATAGCTACTTCCATTATATCAGTTGATAATCCCAGAAAGTCAATGATAACCAGATTTTCTTTTTAAGAGCTCAATGACAGTTTTTAATCACTTCTGTAAGTATGGATGGACATTAGAAAATCACATATAAATTAAACAGAATGCTATCCTGCACTATGTTTAGCTGATCATTTTTAAGCTTCTTTAAGAAATATGCATAGGTACTATGTATGTGGCTAGGTACTAGAATTTAAAGTTTCTCCATCAGTCAGGACAAAACCTTCATTCAAAGATCCATACACTGAAAGGACAATAGATCTTGCAGGGAAATTGGGTTGATGTATCATTTGAAGACCGTAAAATTCAGGTATTTGCAAGTATGGAGGTGTAAAGCCAAAACGTTTAGCTAATAAAAACTGTTTTTCTAAGATCTTCTAGGATTCACAATAATATCATTTATTCATATTTATGTTAATGTCACTTTCTAATAAAACATAAGGTATTCTATATTCAAAGTTTTTTTTACCATATTCTATTGAAATCTTCAGTAATTGGTAGGTATAAATTCAGAAAGTATTGTGATAGTAATTGTTTATTACTGTGTGAGCACAAATATTGATGGAATTTTTCAAAATAGTAAGCACAAATAATTTTTGTACTCAAGTAATATTGTTTTTTTATGCTAAAACATCTTCACTTAATCAAAATGTATGTATGTCTCATAACATTATTTGGACGTTTGTTTGTTTAGATGAATGCCAAACTAAATATGGTAATGCCAATGCATGGCGCTATTGCTGTAAGGTGTTTGATCTTCTGACTGTTGCTGCGGTGAGTAATAAATAGAACTGGAGAATATATTACTTTGTTTTCTATACATAATTTGGTGATATATTAGTAGATTATATGCAAATCAAGCTTTTCTGAATGGATTTAACATGAAAATGAGTTGACATTACAGTTATATATTTAATAAACATAGTGTAATAAAGCTAATTAGTTAACTGACCTAAACTATTAACCCTATCACTATCTGTGAACAACTTTCAGGTTCACATGTGCATTTTGAAATTTAAGTAAAAATGATAAAACTCTGTTTCAACAATTTTTAAATCAAAATTTTTGATAATTGATATTTTTTTCATTTCACAACATTTATTATAACTTGAAATTTCTGAAAGACAAATTAATAAAAGGCATTCTAACTTTCATTTCTGCTTGATTCCCAAGTCTCACCTGTAAACAAAACAGTTATTGATTTTCTTCAGAATTGTTCTGTCCATCCCAACTTATGAGTTTGTATTTGCTTAGAAGCTGCCATCCCTTGAGAATTTAATTATTCATTTGTAGTCTCTTGTGTGATTTTCTTTCTTTTTTATGGTTTTGTTGTGACAACCATTCATTACTACACTTGTGATGCCACAACATGTAGTCAAATGAAGCTCAGCTATGAAAATAACTAAAACCAATGTTATAATATGATTAAATAGATCAGATTATAAACTGTTTGTTTCAATGTAAAGCAACTAAGGTGGTTTCAGCAATTTATAGTTTCTTGAGATATTGACTACCTGAAGCTCCTGTAGGGGTGAATAAGGGAATCTAATGAGAAGACTTGAAAACAAACAAACCATGTATCTGGAAATTTTTAGCCTTGGCTCATAGAACAGCTCTGAGTTTGTTTGTTTTTTTTTTCAAATACAAACTATTAGCTCATAGCTTTGTCATCTCAGGAGTTCAAACCCTTTCGATTGATATATTTGACCATGCCCAATGTCTCGTAGATTAATTTACTCTAATCCTGCCTAAAAAAAATGTCCACTGCTGTGGCTATTAAGGATTTCCTTTTGTTTATAGTTTCTTTTAAATATCATTTAATTCCCAAAAAATATTTTGTGTTAAATTATTCTCTATAAAAGCTACAGAAGTTTTCTTTTTGACTTAAGATAAGCATAATTAGGCAACAGCAAAATATTCTGATGACTCAAATTCGAATTTCTTGAATATTATTGCTAAGCTTATGATATTCGAAGAATGCAAAGTAAAATAGCTTATTACTTGTTTAACTAAACTACATTTATTAGATATAGATTGATCTCAACCAAAAATTGTGACAAAGGTAATGGTAATATCTCAGGTAAATCTTTATCATTTTTTGTGTAATTTATAGCTGAAAGCGGAGGCTATTGAAATAAGCAAAATAAAGTATGAAAATAAATTATTAATGACAATCAATCAAGTTTAAACTAATTGGATATATAAAATAGAACTTTCTGATCAACAAAAAAATAATTCTGTGAAAAAAGGAAATATGTTTAATCCTGTATTACATGCATTATGAAAATAAAGTGAAAAAAATGTTTTATTTGAATTTCTTTCTTAAATACATCTATATTGCACAAAAAAAGAGGGATTTGTGAAATATATTTTACTAAGTTATAAATGGGTAGGTTACCTAGAAATGACATTGTTCAGTTAAGGAATCAACAAAAATAATTCCGTTCAGTTTCAGAATTGTATTTGTATGATGCAACAAAGATAGATTTGTTACCTGTACATTACAATGTGCAGTAGAAGATTAATGTTTTTTGAAGACAATTTATCAAACAAATTTTGGAAATTTCACAACATATAAATGATAGAAATACTAAGTCAAGTTTTATGATTTTTTAATCCAAAACTATACAGTACTTAGTCAGTTTGCACTAAGTTTCATGTAATTTGGGTATTTCCACTTTGAGAAGGAAACAAATAATGGACCATCAGTGACACTTCTCCAGTCAGGAAAGGGTTTGGTAAGTTTACAAGTTATGTTATTTACAAGCTGAGGTACCTGTCCTTTGTCTGGGTTATGAACTTAAAAAAGTGTGGGGGTGGATGCTATGGAAAACAACACAAAAATCCTCACTTTCACACAATTTATTTATTAGATAACATATTACATTATTATCACCTCACCAAAAGGGTTTTGTATAAGTTTTAAGACCTCACTACTTATATGCTTAAAATATGGTATACACTGTGCGATGGTGAAGGTGACTTTGTAGGGAGAGGTAACAGCCAAAGTAGTGGTGCTTTCTGTTACCTACTTTCAACACCCAGCTCTTAATGTCCTTCCACACTGTTTCACGTTATTACTTAATTGACAGTCACTGGCCACAGAAGTGTCTTATGGACCGAAGTTGTAAGGTTACGGGTCAAAGTAGGAAGTGGGTTAACTCAAGAAATGGCTCTTCATACCAGCCTTATGGTGGCTATAGGGGTAGAAACTTCAGCTGAGTATATGTATTATTGCCATAGTGGTGGCAAGTTTTTTTCGTTGCCTTCCTCCATAGAGAGTGCTAGCGCACTTTCTGAGATATATATGACGTTTGTATGCTCTTCCTCCATAGAGTGCTAGCGCACTTTCTGAGATATATATGACGTTTGTATGCTCTTCCTCCATAGAGTGCTAGTGTACTTTCTGAGATATATATGACGTTTGTATGCTCTTCCTCCACAATATGTGTATGTTGTGTTATAGAAAATTTAATATAGTTTTCTTTGTGTAAGGATGTGGTGCCATCCATGAATGTAGTTAACGTACCTCAAAGATAATAAGTGCTCAGTAACATCAATAATGGAGGTGTGGAAGTGGTTGTGAACCTCCCATTAACATGCCCTTTGTTCCAAACTGTCATCCACAAAGTTGGGTTGGGATTGGCCCTGTGACCTAGGAGTAGTTAGATAATGAACAAACAGGCAGACACACAGATTATTGAGCTTTATATACTTAGATTACAACCATACCTTTCTCAGAAAGTTAATTGTATTTACTGTACTTCATAGCTTCAGCATGTCTTCTTGCTAAATCATATATATTTTAAGTTTTAGATGAAGAGTGGTGGAACTAACTTTTCTGGCAGAGAGAGCATTAGCATTTTAAGTATTATGTTAATTTTAGGTGTTGAGCCACTGCTATACAATAACTAATCTTGTACAATTTTTTTAATGAAGGATCCTGTTCTACAAAATATTAGTGTTATTTTTCCAAAATGTATCCATTACCACAATTTCCGTGAGTAAGCCTAGGTTAAAATTAGTTGGAAATTTTATTTTTGTAAATATAAAAGCATGCAATATAACTTGACAAATATTTGTCAGAATGTTTCATTTCAATTAATTTTCTGAAACAGAATAATAGTGTTCATGATATTCCATATCATATTTGTCCTGTCTTTAGTCCTATCTTAAACTAACACTACCTGTTTCTCTTTTAGATAATTGATGAGCAGGTACTCTGTGTTCACGGAGGACTCTCACCAGAGATCAGAACATTAGATCAAGTAAGAACTATTGAAAGAAACCAAGAGATACCACACAAAGGAGCTTTTTGTGATATCCTTTTTGGTGTGTTATTGAATAGTGAACAGTTACTTTTGTAACCTGGGCAAATGGACGGAAATAGAAAGGTCATGATTAAAAGTGCTACTTGTATGTATTGCTGTGTTTTTTTTAAGTGTAACCTGTTTGGTTGAAATGATAACATAATTAAACTATTAGCCCTTTTGCAGTGGTCTCCTGCAACTTGCAGGAGCCCTACTGGGGAATAATACGTGTGCATCAATACATACGGTAACTGAGGTTTCTTAATTTCCAGTATTAGGAATCAAAAGCTTACATAATGTTTAATAACACTTAATACTTGAAACTAGGTAATGGTAGACACTGAGAAGCTATCATTCAAATGCATCTCTCAAACATACTACTGTTCAGAGACTTAACCCCAACAGTTCTGTTCAACACTACAGATTCTCTCAAGGGATCCCAGTTTTGACACAGGTTGTTTGATGCTAGAAAATTTTTTTTATCACTTATGTGTTGAAATTTAATAAGTCTTAATTTAAACTGGGAAAATTACAAAAGAGCACACTTACACAGTGCTATAGGATTTTTGTCCAAAGGAGTAAGTAACATGAATTATATGAAAGTTAGTATAGGATATCTGTTGCCATTATGACTAAAAATATGATAATAGTATTTAACTGGTGAATCATACAAGTTTTCTTATGTTGTGTATTGACTTATAACATTAGATACATCTAATATATTTGTTATATACAATTGGCTTCATTAATTTATAAGTTACTTTTTTAGTTCTGATGTATATAGTTAGCTTACTTTTAACCAGGAATTATCAATAAATATCAAGATTATACTTTAAGATATAAACACATGTTTTAAAGTAGGCAGTGTTTATTGACAGTCAAGAGTTTTTCAAAACATTATGGATTACTTGCATACAAACAAACAATTTTCTGTTTATGTTGGTATAAAAACACAAATAATCTTTCCTTGGAAGTTGGAAAATGCATACAAATGTTACAGGAACCAATTTTATCATGACTGACTTACCAAAATTCATTAGAGACATAGTGTAATTATAATAATCATAAGAAAAATAGATTACTGCAAATTATTAGAAAAATATATTTTCCCAAAATGTGGAACATATGATAAAGCAAGTCAGGATTGATGAAAATGTACAAAGCAGCTGGTAACTTGTACTTCAGAAACACTAGAATTTTTGAAAGTTAGTAAGTTGGTTCAATATTATTTTGTTTTTTAATCATTATTATTATTTCTGAATATCAGGAATGAGATTTTTTCCTCCTGTTTACAAATTTCTGATTTTCTGGGCATACATGGATTGGTTGTATAATCTGTATAAATGGTATGTGTGTATTGGAGGTTAATTTTTGTATTCCACTAGTTATGTATGTGTACAGAATTTATTTCATACAAACAGTTGTCTGAGTATCAGTTCAGTGAAAAATATAATTTTAATGGTTAGTTTATTTTTATGACACAACATGCATTTTTTTAATCAATCAAAGTTTTTTGTGAATAGCCATATAAGCATTTGTGATATATTTTACAAGTTGGTGAATGATGTCATTTAGCTTTTGATGTAATTTTATATGAGGTAATAAGAAAGATGTGTTGAAATATGGCAAGAATTACTAAAAGATGAATTGAAACAGACGACTTCAGTAACTCTATGAAAAACAAATTTAGGTGAGAATGACTGCAAAAAGAAGTGAAAATTAAATTTCATATTGTTTGTCAAAATCAAATAATAATACTAGAATTTTTATATTTTATTTAAAAAGTAAATTTGTCAGGAAAAACCCTTTATACTTTACGTAATGAATTTGTAAACTATTCTTTGAGGGGGTTATTAAAAAAATAAGCATCTGCTAAAATACACATAAACTGTATGAAGCTATAAATAATCTTGCTTTGGAGTAATGTTATAAAATCTGTGTTTATATCTGTAATAGGTTGATTTTAATAACAAGTACCACATAAAATTATGTAACTTCCTTGTCTGAATTGAAATTTAATATATCAACATGTTAGAATTTTAATTCCTTGGACCCTCATACCACCAGGGCTCTGCCTTGGATAGGCAAGGAGCTTTGTTTATGCCCTTTGACCCCAGTTCTCGTACAGGTTTTTCTTCTCATCTAGTCCTATCAGTCAAATGTATATGCTTTATAAAAAATTGCTTAATTTGAGTTAAAGAAATTCTTGTTGATGTGTAGTGTACTTTAGGATTTGAAAATTTTGTTCCTAACATTAAAAGTTATAGCCAGATGTCAGTTCTCAGTAGTGGTATGCAACATTGTTTCAGTTGAGTCTATAGGTAAAACTCTCCCTCAATAGATAAATAAAAAAATAGTTATACAATGTGTTTAAGGTTGCACTGACCCTTAAAGATTGCTCCCAATATTGCAAAGATCACATTTTTTTAAATTTAGTCAAATCAAAAGTTTTACCTTTTTTCTACATAAATAACTCATTTTTGTCTTAAAACCTGTAGTAAATGATTAAAAATAAAAGTCTGGTTTGTTTTTATTAAAGCCAGTATCAGCATGAAATCTAGCACACTTATTGATATAACTCTTCCATGGCTTGAATTTTTTTAAATTTAAAAATCTTTAATACCAGTTGCCTTGTAATGAGTCTAATTACCACTGACAAAGGCATTAATTAAAATTAATGCCCATAGCTTGTTAATGTTGCAGAGTTTTTAATTCAAGCTCTGAGGATATCCACAAAGAGCATGTGTATCAATTTTCACATTTTTATCATTCCTAATTAAAGTTATGGTGTTAAAACAGTTTATGTTATATATATATATCTTTAACCCTGCCACATTAATTATGCACATGACTGAAAGTGTACTTTTAGAGACAGCAACATCATACTTTTGTTTTGTACTCAACTTAAATGTTATAAGAACTGTTTAACAGTGTTTTCTCAGCATATAAATTTGCCCAGTTTTAAGGGCCAGTGCTACCATTATTTGAAACTAGAAAGGGGTACCAAATATTTAAATGTGCTTTTTAGGATAAAATGTAGAAATGGCTATGTAAGTAGCAAGAATTGTAATGTGTTGTTTTTAATTACAAGAAATTAGGGGCTGGACATGAGAGACTGTGAATTAGGGGCTCAAGATTTGTGCTGCAATATTCCCCTGAACATTTTCTATGTTATTTAGCTCTGGGGATTTCAACCCCTCTATTTGGTAAAGAGTAGCTGACGCTTCTATCTGGTTGTTCTTTGGTCAGCAGTTCTAAATTATGGATAGCTATGCCTGGACCTTACATAGTATAGCCCATGTGTTGTATAAGGTGTCTTTCAGTTTGAATTACCAATTCTTAAATATTTTTATAAGCTTCTGTATAATTTTAGAGGGAAGACTTAAACTAAAAGATGTATCGTGTCTGTTAAGATGGTATGATTGATAAAATTATATAAAAGAAAAGATTCACTTAACTTCCCTTGTTTGTATCTTTAAACAACACTACTAAAAGTTTCTATGAGCACTACTCTAATACTTGTTCCATTATTTAAAATGTTCAACTTTTATCAAACTTATATTCTTGGATCTTAACTAATCGGCACATCTAGTGTGGTCTGATCCTGAAGATGTGGATACGTGGGCTGTTAGTCCAAGAGGAGCAGGCTGGCTCTTTGGGTCAAAAGTCACTCATGAGGTATGAAGCTTTAATACCTGAAAGTTCATAGAAAGCAATGACTTATGTGAACATTAACATAAGATAGGATAGTTATTCAAAAGAGTTCTGAATCCAGAAATGAACATTTAATACTTTCTTTATGTAAAGGCTTTATGGGGAATAAATAAAAGTTTAGAATAAAATTTAACATTTTCTAAAGAAGAAGTTATTAGTGTAGAAACTAATGGACTTTAATTGAATTTTATTTTCTAGTAAGGGATATTTTGTTCTGATCATGTGTATTGAATCCAACAGTGTAATGAATTCACATCTGAAGTAATTTCAAAAAGCAGGTTAGAAAAAACAATATACCTCCACATATAGATATTGAAAATCATATTAAAAGAACCATTATTAAGGGAACTAACATAAAAAAACAACAATGTAAAACCAATTTGGAAATCGATGTTGTCTGATACATGGATTTATCTTGAAAGTAGATGCTTCACCTATGGAATGATCATCAAGTTCATGGATTTTTCATTTTGTGTGTGTGTTAGAAACTCATAACAAGTTTCTTTAACGTGTGGGGGTCTGTATTTCAAGTTTGAAGACCTTTGAGAAGTTAGTGATGATATACTATAGGTCTTTTGAAAAATACAAGAAATAAAGGGTTTCCTGTATTAGGTCGTCAAGAAATTAATGTCGCATTTTGGAACACTTTCATTAACCACTCCCTAAAAAACGTACATCACTTATAATAGTTAAACGAAATGCCTAAACGTCACGTTAGTTTAGCCTATATAATGTGTAAAGTTTAGTATACTTTGATCCCTTGTAGTGATGGCACAAGACGAGGCACACATTCTGCATGTAATGCTGTTTGAATACAAGAAGAGAAACAATGCCTCTGTAGCCACAAAGAATATCAAAGAAGTTTATGGAAATGTTTTGAATGTTCGTAAGTGTCAACAATGGTTCAGCAAATTTCGTTCAGGTGATTTTAGCCTTAAAAACTGTGATGGTGGGGGCCCACATGTTGGAATTGATATTGATGCTCTGAAGAGTCTTGTTGAGTCTAACCCAAGGCAACACACTCGTGAAATGGCTCTGAAATTGCATATCTCTCATGAAACAATATGTAAACATCTAAGGAATATGGGAAAACTCCATAAAGAATGTGTTTGGGTGCCTCACAAACTCTCCGATGATCATCGTTTCCAACGTGTGAACATTGCATCATCTCTTCTGGTGCATAATGCGTGTGAACCATTTTTGGACAGAATTGTCACCGGTGATGAAAAAAGGATTCTCTATGCGAATGTTAAATGCCAAAAACAATGGCTCAGTCCTAGACAAAACCACTTCCGACCCAAAAACCTGGACTCCATCAGCAATAAGTGATGCTTTGTATTTAGTGGGACATCGGAGGAGTAATTCATTTCGAACTTCTCAATCCACAGCAAACTATCAATGCAGGGATCTATAGTCAGCAACTGGAACGTTTAAATCAAGCCCTTCACTCATCAGTCGGAAAGGCGTTCTTCTTCTCCATGACAATGCACATCCATATGTGTGGCACGTTTGATGCAACACAAGATTATGGAGTTGGGTTGGGAAGTTCTCCCCCACCCACCATATTCTCCAGATATGGCACCATCAGATTACCATCTTTTTCATTTGCTGCAACACCATCTTAATCAGCAGAAATGAATATGTCTAATAAATAAATTCTTAGTTAATAGCCCTCAAAACAATTTCTTCAGTTTTGTAGTTTTCAAAATATATTTTCACCAAAAAAATGACTGGTTGTAAAAACTTGTTGATCTTATTTTAAGGGACAATCAGGACTGTAAACAGTGTTGTTATGTATGTTAATAATAATATTTTGTCTTTGTCTGTTCTTATTAGTTTCTACTTTCACATTTAAAGTGGATAAAATTCTTTAAAAATTGAATAAGTGATTTTGACTTGTAATAATCATACCCTGCGATGACAGCATCCTTGACAAGTAAAACTATTATACAGTTAAACATTAGTATGTGTTATCATAAAAAAAAAAGTTAGAGGCTGAACACCATGTTGAAATATAAAGCTTTTTTGAGTCACAGGGTTTCTACTTAATTGTTAAGTGGAATTACAGCAGGAAACTGAAAAAAATGCTTAAAATAATGGAATTCAACTGTGTGGAAAAATCATTAGATGTGCAACATTATTAAGGTGTGTAACAACTTGAGGGTGAATCTTTTTGTGGTTGACAAGGTGATTTGTCATGGTGTATGTTCAGCAGCCAATCAGGTACAAGTTGACTTGTATTCCTGTTGGAAAGTTGATATAATAAGTGCAATAAATATTTGGTTTTGGCTACATGCTAGAGAAGTTTCTAATTTCATCCAAAGTATTTCGGACATAAATATGCAAGGCTTTAATTTTAGTATTAAACTGAAGCTTGGAAAGAATTCCTTTGCAATTAGTTCAGTGATGTGTGATCATTAAAATTTTTTAATTGCTTGTTTCCTATTTATTTTATTTTTGCTTTTATAAGTGCTTTTTAAATGGCCAGGTGTTATTGCTAGAATGTTTTGTAGTTTTGCTACATTATTTTATAAAATGTAATAAATATGTTAATTTTGGTGTTTGTTCAAATAAGTAAATAAGGTCTTTAAAAAGGACAGGTTGGGTGTGAGAAGTATTTGAATTGTTTTTCCATTAACTTATGGGAATTATGTAATGTGGATTTTACATAATTTGATTCTGCGGCTTTGTTTTTTTTTCCCAAGTTTACCAACTGACAATGCTAAAATCTGGGTTCGATTACCCAAAGTAGATATCCCAATGTGGCTTTGCTCTTAAGTTCTAATTATTGTCTGGATTACTTTTGTAATGAAGAAAAAAACATTCATTTTTCTGATGACCCAATTATTTATTTGTTTTTTTAGTTCATGCATCTGAACAATCTAAAATTAATATGCAGAGCTCACCAGCTTGTCCATGAAGGTAAGCTGTTTTCTAAAATTATACATGATTTAAAACAAATTCAAGTTACATACAATTTTCATTCGCTACTGTTTAAATTCATGTAGATTTTTAATTTAATGAGTGTTATTGGAATTCAAGTATGAACAGTTCAGTGAAGTTATATGTATGATGTTAGCTATTAATATTTTTTTTCAGTCAATTATTTTTGTGGAAATATTTCATTATTTTCATCATTATCTGGGTAAAGAAAATAATAGTATTCTTAAAAGATTAAACATTAATAGGTTTGGTTCAAATTAAAAATAAACTTAAAATGTTTTGAGCATTAAAAATTCTATTGAATGTTAGTAATGACACGATTAAATTTTTATTAGGTTATAAGTACATGTTTGAAGAGAAGCTTGTGACTGTATGGTCTGCACCAAACTACTGTTATCGCTGTGGAAACATTGCTGCTGTGTTGGCCTTCACTGATGTAGAAAATCGCACTGCTAAGTTATTTCATGCTGTTCCAGACTCTGAGCGTGTGATTCCTCCCCGTAACACTACTCCATATTTTTTATAAGTGATCGTTTTAGTTTTTTTCTGTACAATATAAAATAAATTGGCCTAGTGTTTCATGTGTCAATATCACAGGATATGTATACAGGAGAAACAGTATATACTCTCCACTATCAAAGGTTTTGTTATCAAACATTAAGGGTATTATCTACTGTGTTTCTATTTTGGGAACATTTGTAATCTCTTGTCATTTATCAAAAATATTTTTTACTCATTTAGTTTATTCTCAGAAAAATTTGTAATCCAGCATGCATGCTGAGGGTTTTCAGTTGAATTATCAATAATTTTTTTTTGTTTCCTAAAAGATGACATATTTTTCATGTACATAAAGTTTTTCTTCAAGACATAAAATATTGTTTCAGATTTATGAACTTTAATAATGCTTCAGTTTTGCTGGTATGAAAAGGGTTGTGTTGATTTGAAAATTCGGCGTAACCACACATATTTTTAGGTTTTGTGAACAAATATGGTATTGATGCATAATTGTGTAATATCAGAACTTAATAAATCAAAACTTACGAATAAATTTTCAAAGTATGTTAGCTCTACTATTTGTAAAATAGCTGTTGTCTTCATTTGCTTTTTATGTTGTAATACATCATAAACAGATGATACCCAAGTCATGGAGAAATAAACTTCTGTTGAGGAAAGGGGGAATTTGGCTTGCACACCAAAAAGAACTTCCTTAAAGAATTTGTCTGTTTAAACCATTACAACAATACTTTTCTAAAAGTTTAATATAAAATATTATCTTGTTCTTCTTATGAAGCAAAGGTTTTGATAGGTTGATGAATCTACAGAAACCTACTACTTTTTGCCTAGCTTGAGCAACTCGTTAAACCAATTTATTTTCTTTTTGTAATCTGTAAAAAGTTATTTCAAATGTCTTTAAAAAGTATTTCATATTTCACTTGAATCAATTAAATGCTGCTCTTAAGTAAGGCTTGATCAAACCGCTTTGTTCCGGTATGATACAGGGTTCTCTAGAATGATAATGTCCACCTCAGATCAGATAAGTTCAGAAAAATAGGTCAAAGAACAAGGTGGATTCAACTTTTAAGCATCTCCACCCTTCCAATTTAAGTGAATAATGTGTTTTGTGTATGCAATTTACTTAACTGGTAAAATCCTATTCAAATGGTATGTAGACTACTGTGAGACTTTTTTTTTAACTTGTAAAACCCATATTGGTCATGTTCTGCTCGTTATGGAATTTTGTTTTAGTAATTTGTAAACTAAAAGTTACAATAAATGCAGGTTTTTTTCTTATAATCATTCCAGTTTCTCTATAATGTTGATCTGAAATTCACTTGGTATAAGCTCTGCAAAAAATAACCCAATTTTTCAATACATACAGTGATGATTCATGATCTGTAATTCACTCTCGTAATCAGTTATCATAAATACCATACTTTAATTACTCAATACTAATTTTGTTACTATGGTAGTAGTATTTGAAACATAGTGTAAGTTTATTCATTATTTTGCACTAGCCTTAAATAACTAGTTATGCTTGAAAAACCATCAATTTGATCCAGTAGCAACAAAAGATAGAAGAATTATTCACTAATCTTCATCAATACAAGGGTATATTTACTTTAATATTTGCTGTCACTTCATGATGTATTATAGAAAGTGTTATGGCACCATTTTTTTAGTTAAGATGACAAAAACCTCTATTATATGTAGTTCAATTTCACATCAAGCAAGAATGACAATTTCCCACTGATTGGCTATTTTAGACATGTTATTGGTCATTCACGAGATCGATGCAAGTTCAATGAGATAAAAAAATTGTGATATTGGGGGAGTTGGAAGCTGAATACAAAATTCTCTTGCATATGTTGCAGAAAATCTTTTTTTTACAAGACCTAGAAGTAAACGCTGGATTCTGAAATTCTGCTTCATCTATGATAAACAGCCTTTCTAACCAGGCTGAACTACTCAATATTAGAACTAGCATGTTTGATGTCACTTTCAAACTCACTGTCAATGAAAATGCACACAAGGTACATGGAGTTATTAAAGGCTTATTTAAGTTAATTGCCCTTATCTGGAAAACATCAGGTTGAAAACATAAAATGTCATGTTGTGGAAATTTGTTTTTTTTTTTTTTATTAGTGCACAATAACAGTACAGAAATATCAATTCTCTGTGAATATCTTAATCTTAAGTTAAAATGTGCAAATTTCATTTAAATAAAATAAACATTTTCTATCCTCCTTCAATCCTTACTCCAGGCTTTTGTGCTGACCATGGATACAGTTATGCTTGCCGTTAACCTAAGATATTTTAAGCCTTATTTATTCTCATCCCTGATCAAATTATCCACATGGTGGTCAGTAAAATTTGTTGATAATTAGGACAAGAAATATCGGAAAATGTTCCCATAAAGTTTTTCAGGTAGAATATGACAAATAGGAATCATTAGTTGACATAAATGATTTTTCAGAAGTTTTAAAGACAAGATCAAATCAAATTTAGTTATGTGAAATAGCATTGTTGGGTAAATATATCATGATTTACCCTATCATTAAAAAATTACATAAATTAGAACCGGGTAATAGTAATGTTTATGTAAACTTGATTTTGCTACAGAAATGACAAAAGGATCATGTTTTTTTTTACCTGTTCCAAATATTTTTATTGTATAATAGTGAAAGTGCTTTAGTGTTTTGATTTGTACATGCTTTATTTGCCATTGTTAATATGAAAATAATTTGATCAATAAAATAAAAAATGAAGAGCACACAAAAGTTTATTCTGTAGTAAAAATATTTGATATTAAAAATATTTTTAAACTAAAAACCTGTCACCATATTCTTGGAATTTAATGTAGATATTATAAAAACTTAATTTTTGTGGTGAGTTTTTGTAAAGGAATTGCACATTTGGATTTTTTTTTGCAGTTTTACAAAAAAGTAAGTTTTCTATGGAAACTGAACAGCTGATATAAAAGCATGCTTATTACAATAGTTGGTAGATTACTGAATTAGAAAGTATAGTAATGTTTTTCCGAGCATTCTATGCTTTTTTTTGGTGCACAGTGCAATTTCATTTCCTTTGAAATTGTTTTATGCAAATAAAGTTAATATTTCTGATAATGACTTGTTAACAACAGATAATTATTGTTTGTCCAATTAACAATATTTTTAATACATGGATAAGTTCAACACATTTAAAAGTTAAACATGACTTTTTTTAATACACAGGCTTTTTACAGTGTTACATTGAGATTTTTTTAAATTTCTGATCTGGGTCATTTTTAATAACATTTATCTAAAGTTACATTTTTGTAACATATTTACTGTCTCTAAGAACACTTAAAACCTCCAAATTAATTTACTCTGCTATTACAATTTTAAGGTGAGGTACTTTTATATAACCCACAGATTAACTTAGCTATCTGTTGAACTTCTGTATTTAATTCTAATTTCAAGATAGAATGACTGGAACTTTTACACAGATACTTTGAAGATTTTAAACATATTAATTCTGTGAGAATAATAGCCACTTACATTCATTAATAAAAAAAAAAGTGCCCATAAGACTTCAACCAAATACTAGGAGTTTTCAGAAAATGTGACCAGTCCAAACATTTTGACTAACTGTGCACTATTGTACAAAATTTTTCAAGATGAATTTGAGAAACTATCCATTCGCAGTAATTACAAATTAATATATATACACTATTTTATAACTAAATATTTACATATTAAGTTTTAAAAAGTTTGAGAAATACATGTATATAAAGTTTTTCATGCATTTCCTAGGCTTCTTTGTTCTTCCCACACTTTTTGAAGTTCTGTTGGGTTATCATAACCATGAGAAGCTATCACATCAGCATATCCAAGCTTATCATAGGGTTTTTTCCAGAAATAAAAATTTTCATTATGGAATGGTGATATTCCACATTTTTTGGCCACAATACCAAGAAATACATCATCAAACCTGAAATGTTTGGTGTAAAGACTTGTATAGTACATGTCGTATAGTGCTGGAAAAGATAACACATAAGCTCCAGCTGTGATATATGGAGGGTACCTAGAAAATGGATATTCCTTCAGAGTTACATACCATTTACTAGGTTTATGCCTCATTGGTGATGTATCGAATACATAGCCAGCATACAGACTATCTCCGAAAGTTTCATGAATATCTTGCAAAAGTTTTCTTCTTTGAAGTGGTATTTCTTCCGAGTTTCTGACTTGCATAGTATTTAGAACAGTATTACTTAGTGTTGTTTCAATCTTAAAGCTTTTATGATTGGATTTCTGAAGTTTCCTATCATCATCATGGGACAAATATAATAGTCTTCTATATCCTAATTGAATGTTGAGTGGATTTCTTACAAACTTAAGAAGGTTTTTGGTTGAAATATACATATCATCATCAGCAAACATAATAAATTGAGCTTTGGGGCAATAGTTCACAACCCATTTAAATCCCATCATTGTTTTTATAGTATTATTGTAGTAAGTGTCAACAAAGTCAGCCTGAACCAAGTCTTGATATTTTTCATGCTCTTTGTCAATGTCATCCTGTAAGATAGGGTTTGTCTCACTCGTGCCAAGCAAAAAAATCCGGCGAATAGTTACATCAGAAAATCTTTGTTCCCAACCCCAACTGTTGCGAATAGCTTTTCTCCGTTTTTGATTATTTATTGCTGATTTGATTACATAAAGAAGAACTACATTTGTATTGTTGTTTTTATCCATAGCTTTACATTTTGCTTCATTTTTAATCTTAAATCTGTAGCTATGTACATTAATTGGCTTTATGGATGGCACTTTTCCTTCTTTTATCTCCCAAAGTACTTCTTCCATATTAATATCAAGAGGATAAGTAAATTTGGTGTGGTAATCTATCTCGAAGAGGTGAATGAAAACACCAAATATGTCACAAATTCCAATCAGAATTAAGATTCCTAAGATATACTTGACCTTCAGTTTTGAAAACCAAATATCCAATCCACACATCCTTGGGCAGTGCATGTTTTAGCAGATAATACAAGTAGTTGTTTCTACACCAAAGCTTCACCTGAAGTAATTAAACTAGTTCCAGTGGACCACTGTAAGCAAATAAAACATTCCAAGTTATGTAAAATAAATGAAACAACAGTGACCTACAAGAATATCTTCAAAAACTAATAGTAATAAAGCATATGAAATTTATACTACCATGAAAATAAAAGCAATAAATACAACATTTAATCAGCAATAAATGGTCGTCATCACTATTATGATGACTAAATATCATCAGGCCATGGTACTGTCCAGTATTTTTGACTAAGGTTATGATAATCACAACATACTTTTTGAGGCCTTTTTTTCTTTCTTTTCTGCCAAGCAGTGCTTATGCTTAGGTAATTCTATCATTTCAAACTTTTTGAGTGAGCCACATGATTGATATTCAAAACAAAATGCATACCAATGGTTCTACACTTCTATTACCAGAACCGTTAAATCTCAATAATGAAAATGTTATAAACTAACTCATAAAATTACTAAGCTTGAATCCTACTTAAAACATGGACAAATTATGTTCTAACATCAATGCCAATAAAAGTGAAGTTATGTTACACTTAAAATATCAAAGTTTTATCAGGGACAATGGTGTTAGGTACATTTCTGCAGATATTAAAATACATCAACAAACTTATTACTTTTTGGTCCATTTTCAACTTATTTCTCCAGTGTCAAAATTTTAAATGTAACCAAACAAAATATCACCTAATATGAGTAATACAAGGACAAAACAGATCAGTTAGTCTTATCTGATAATGTATATTTTCTTCTTATTCAATGAAGCTCAAGAATATATAAATGGGACTCCAGGAATTACCTCACTGAGTCATGGATGTAATACATTATTACTAGCAACATAGAGATCTGAATTTGTAGTTTCTGATAACAAGCAAACGTATTTTGAAGTTTAAAATTAATCATTTTTATGTACTTAGTATTATCCCTCTTGCAGTTGCAGTGTTCGTACATGATGTTATTACTTCTGATGTAGAAAAAACATGGAAAAGAAACAGTATATATTAACAGAAAGCCTAGCATCTGTCATTTCAGTTACAATTACCACTGTCTTCACTATGTTATTATGCTTAACTGAAAAACAGTGTCTTAAAATTTAAATTGAACATAAAGTTTGAATGCAGCGCTTGTAGTTAACTATTGAATTTGAAACAACAAATATGCAGCAGGCTTATTTGTGATACCAAGTGGCCTAATGCTATCTATGTGTGACTATAATATAGTTTAAGTTTTAGCTTCAACTGCTTTTGAATTAACAAGCTGGATTTTCTGTTGTTCCTAGTACTGGTACTAGTAGTAGAAATTTGTAACTGCATTGCATCGGCTACCTCATACAGAAGTTAGAATTCTGAATGTACTTAAATTTTATGTTTATCTTTCCTTTAATAAGTTTAAATATAAGTAAAATTACGATATATCATATATTTTGAAAACAATTATAACACGAACAATGTACCCAACTTACGAATGCTGTGGCTTGACACATCGAGTTGTCCACAAAAATTACTATGTCACAGTATGTGGAAGTTCCGTTTCTTTGAAGCTGTTCACAGCACGATTTGACTAAGCCTAACTTAAATTATGAGTTAGGAATAACGTGGTGATTCTGTCAACCAAAACCGATGACAAAATGTAATGCCTGGGAGTAATAAATATCAGGTAATATTTGAGAACGCTTTATAATTGTATTATCTGAAAACCAATCATACCTACGATTAAAACAACTACTACCATCCGTTGGTAGCATTATTATACTACCACAGAAAAGTCTAAGAGATGCTGGTTACACCACATTCTTTATTTCCTCTAGATGGCGCACAAATATTTTAGAAAGCCTTTATGTTTGAGCAGACAACTACTCATACTATGATATGGAGAATAAGATAGATGTCAAACTTTTGTGTTTGTGAACTTGTATTTTAAATTCACGCTCTGAAGGACTTTATGAAAAGGAAATGGAGACATCACACCGAGGTAAAATATTTCATGAATATATTTTTATAAAATGAAGTATCAACATTTCAGAATTGATTAGTGTTACGGTTCAGTTACCGCAAATGTAAGGCTGATGTTCTTTCTACTAGCTCGTTAGTGTAGTAATATTTTGTGACGGATTTGATGTAGATAGTATTATCACACATCATAAAACTGATATTTCAAGACTGAAATAGTGAACTCAAATAAAATAGTTATTTTAGTGGAAATAAATATATTTCGAACCTATCACTTTGCTGAAATTAAAGTCTTACATTAAATGTATTCCTAGACTACTTGTATTTATCCAAATAACGCATTTGTGAACTATATTCTAAGCCTGGTGAAGATCTCCTAACAAAATAATTTACAAGTTAAAACAAAGACAAATTTTAAAATATTGTCTATACATTTTCATCTTTAATTTCTTATAGAAAGGAATTCAAAGAAATCATAAAATATAACGTCCAGAAAAAATAATTAGACGATCGTTTAAAATTATACCTCGTTATAGTCAGGCAGTTAACGTCATCATCACCCACAGAAACACGGGAAGAATTCAAGCGTGAATGTGAAAGATCTAAACTTGTATTACGTCATCATCACCTACAGAAACACACATATACTAAAAAGCCGAAAAGGATCAAAGAGAAAGTTATGGCACCAAAAAGAAGAGAATATACCTCTTAAAAGGAATAAAAAATGTATTTTTATGTTGCTTCTCATTATTATTTTATTCATAATAAAGTAGAAAGTGGGAATATATATATTCCCATCTGTTTTGGTTGGTATTAGTTCAAATACGATATCAGTACATATGTGCGTGGGCTTTCCCGATTCACAGGTTACGCACTTGTAGCGTATGAAAACGTGTGTGTTTGCTGCTGCTACCCGTCATCGATCACCTAGTCACACGTGTCCCGATGCCAGGTATGAACTAATAATGACCCTACTTTCCAGAGCACTAATTTCCGGTCCTTCTCGGTCCGTTTTTATGCTTTCCTTTCTCGTTTTATATTTCTTGTTAGAAATAATGTGAAATATGTTCTCTTACTTTTAGTTGTTCAGTACGACCACAGAAACATGGGAGGAATTCAAGCATAAATGTTTAAAATCTTAATTTTCAATATTTCTGTTGTTTTAAATATTTGCGGATAGTTTAATATTGTTACGACAGGGGAAGTCAAGTGACACTGGTGATACGTCATGAGTTTCTAGAAGGATCGTGTCTCTTCCTGGCAACTGTAGTCTTTTATACGCGTCCTATATTTTAGTATATAAGCCCGGCAAATAAAGCGGAGGAACAATTGCAGATAGGGAGATATAGAGACCGATAATTGAGTCAAGCCGTAAGTAAAGGGTGTAAATCGTTGTGAATTAAAGTGTTTAAGTTAAAGTGACTGTGGAAATTCTGTGTATTATAAAGTTGTATCGAGAAATAATAAACTAGTTTTAATTAGGAAAGGACTTGTGTCGCTAAAGTTTCATCGGAAATAAATTATACAGGAAATTAACAAACGAACACAGACGTAACAGCATCTTTATTGCAGTTTCCTGAATAATAGAAAAGAATTCTAATCGCAGACATCGAAATCTCTAAGACAAAATTTGAGAAAGAAAAAACACTATATACGATGGTAATAAAACAAACATCACCTTAAGAATAGTTTAGGCCCGAAACGTTGTGTCAAATCAAAGTATTCCTTCTTTCTTAAACATTGTCTTAGATCTTTTATGAAGTTTTCTGCACCATTCTTCCACATCTTGTCTCATACCTATCCAGTAAAATCTGTGTCGAAGGTGACTCAATGTTTTCTTAACTCCGAGATGTCCTCCTGTTACAGTATCATGGGATTGACGCAACACAACTTCCCATAGCTTTCTTGGTATAACCGTTTGCCAGGTCGTCACTTTCCCATCTGCAGTTTCCCATCTCCGGAGAAGAATACCATCTTCAAGCCTCAACTGGTCTCATTGTGCCCAATACTTCTTTGTCACAGGAATTAGACTAGACACCTTCT